AATCCACTTTGGCCGAAGAGCAACAGCAAAATTTTCTAGATCTGAGACAGATTATGTTAAAGCAGTGAGTAATCAGCAGCAATTCGTGAGGAACACATGAACAATCCTGAGATAAGCTCTCTCAGTCCCCAATCCAGCCCGGTTTCGTATATCGCTCGGCTTAAGCATGTATTATTATGCGTACCTTGAAACGGCGATAAAGCCTTTTGCTGCTTCTCCTTCGTTGTTGGTGTTGCCACATTTTGGAAAGCACGACTACGGAATGTCTTCGGAAGGAGCTGAAAAATTGACGTGTTGTTCGCAGTTGCCGACCTCATCGCTATAGTTGTATTTAAAGCTTTCGACTGTAAGAATTAAGATCAGTAGTACGAGCACGGGACAGTTCGCACGAATTAGCACCCACACGATCCACCCAAAGGACGCGAAGAACATAATATATAGTTTTCGACGAACTGACGGTCAATCAGCTACGGGGAAAGGACGACGCAAAATGAATAAGATGATAATAAGGCAACTTCACAGCAGAAGTGAGGATGTTGAGATGGTGGTTGGATGTAACTGGACCGAATCAGAAACGAAGATATCAAAACGGTCATGCAACTAGCTCTTGCCCAGCTGAAGACGAGAGAGCAGCGGCAGCGATGGTATGGGCATGTGCTGATCACCGGACCACCAGGTAAGAAAGTCGATGGAGTTTGGAGCCCAAGTAAGCGAGCCAAGAAGCTCCAAAGAAGAGGTGATCAAGAGGGATCTCGTTGAAGTCAAGATTACTCAGAAGATGCCATGATTAGAACGAACTCACGGCTCACAAGAACAGCAGACCCTGCGCGACGGGGGAATAACTAGGCTAGGGAAAGAAGAAGTCTCGCTGTCGAGTGCTTACTCGACGTATCATTGAAAGCAGCTGAGAAGGATTTTTGTCAATATAGCTTCCGAAGATACAAATGAGGATAAAATTGGGTTTGCTATTCACCCAATGGAAAGCGATTTTCGCCATGAGGACGTTATATGTAGCGCTGCCTCAGAAAAGTCCGAATAACGAAACACGGAATGAGCAATTAGAAAATCAAAATTATCCTTTATATGGCGTTAGAGCGTGAGTGGAGTAGTGGCAAGTGGCGCATTTCGCACACGCATGCCATACTCGCCTGGGAGGATAAAGCACGCATATATCGTCTGGCCACCGCAGGTCATTGTATAGATCACATGCGCATTCAATACGCCACTAGTTCCTGAATGGAAGTCGAATGCGTGGGCGCACCTTCAGACGGGATTGGTTGACACCGCAAGACCTTATCCTTTATCCTTTATGGCGTTGGTGGGTAGACCTTGTCGTGAAAATAGTTAAGCTGTACTCACTTCTATTACCTCATTGTCAGTCGCACAATAAAGAGTTGTGACAAGGACGAATGCATCAGGCTTATGGGTTTTTTTTTGATTTTTTTTGTCATTAGCGTTTCACTCGGTAGCAAGAACTTTTCAACTTTTCACTGTTCAATCGGAACTTCTTGTTCTCCTCCGCGATAGTTCCTAGGTGCCTTTCGTTGAGATTAAAAGTCTACACCATGTTCATCAAAATCATTCCCCGTAGGCCCATAAAGTCGAACTTGAAGCTGATCCACTTTTAGAACCACTCTCGAACCCATTCTTTTCAGCAATAATGCCGTCCACTTTGCATAATTCTTGGCCAGAATTCTGAGCCTGGTGACATATGTCTTCGGCGAAGCACTGCCGATTTATTAGCCTCATAAACCTGCCTCTGGGTGATCTAGCACCGGTCCAGTTCTATTGCTACCGAAAGATCGATTTATTTGCTATCATTCTCCTGAGATTCTTCTCCCGGCTCTTATCGGTTACCAATGAGTATCACTGATCAGCACTCAGCAGGTCGCAGCTAGTTTTGAAATTCAAGTACAGCCTAATGTCCATTAGGAAACATATGGCTCATCCTCACTTTTTATTGAAGTTCTCATATTCATACTGTTCATGTTTCTGAGCAGCCCAAGATAATGGTTGGAAGTGCATGTAGATAGATATTGTACACTCCTTTTCATTGAATAGCTTGATGACCGGATGCACCTCGGAATGGGATTAACCTTCGCAGAAATCGTTGATCCTGTGACTTGGGATGCTGTATGGAATGTAGTGGGTCCACTTCTTTCCATTCCAGTTATGGTGTTTCAGTGATATATTTGAGCGTGTCCATAGGCTACTATGCTGCAAATAATCATTATTGAGCTGAAGAAGAAGCTTTGGGTAAGAGCTACCAAAACTTCTAGCGCAGCTTATTGCTACCCTCTTCTTCTGTTGGTATTCCACGCGGATATCCTTTAGCTTTCAAAGTACATGTCACTCTCCTCTCTCCCTCTTCTCAGTACAGTGAGAGGTATGAAAATTCCGGTCCACGACAAGAGTATTTCCGAGATTTTGGTATGGAACGAATCTCTGCTTCACAAGGATGGCGTATGGGGCGTTGTGTAAGAAATCGTCCTATATAGGGCGTAATAAGTGCTCAAAGACTGACTTTGCTGGATACTGTAGCCAAGCAACTTTAGCGCAATTGCACGCAACCTCCTCCGAACACCCTTCTCGTCGCCATAATTTTATGTAGCCTCCGCATTCATCTAGTTTTGTGAGGTATCACGCTTCACAGAATTGCTCGCTCTCTGATCTCGCGAAGCACTAATCTGCCCCAATACCCGTTGTTCAATCTAACGGGGTGCCTCAAACTGACCATAAACTGGACCTGCTAATGGGTATCAGCCACGACGACCACATTTTTCGCGCTTAAAGCCTCACTCTGAACCAATTGTTCCATTGAACTTATCAAAATCCATTGTTCTGAATGTGTGATAAATAATACCGTTGAGCGCAAAAGGATAATGGCATTGTACTATCGCCCTTCTTCCGAAATTACCGGCAACTGCCCTAAGTAGTCATTCATGTAAGGCCTAAGACGCAAGCTTTAGGTACTACTGTATAATGAGGAATATAAAGCTTTAATCTCTCAGTCACACTAGAACCGTAGAGTGTTGAGACATGTAGAGAAGGGAATGTTGCAAAGAGAATTCACTACATTCTTACCAAAATGGATGGAAGGAGATGAGCATTCGAGATAATCACCACTGATGAAAAGAGAAGAACTGCTAGGAATGGTGACATTGCGTACCAGAATGAACTATAGATGCCAGCTATTTTCAGACCCATGAATTTTTGAGTATCCTATTAGTATTCGTAGAATGCGCCCTGCATTTGACTTTTATTCAGATTCACTGTGGCGTTTCAAATGCATTCGGGGCCTATACAATACTTTTGATTACTAGCCAATGCACAGGCCAGTGCTTTTATCCTCCCGAAAGAGTCTGGAACCAAATAACCGATCCCGGAGAGATGGAAAGCTCGGTTGGCTTGGGAGAGTATCAGTTAGGAATTCGAACCCGGACCGTGTCCGTCTGAAAATTAGCCATTTGGAACTACACTACCTCACCTCGTTACTGAACACCCTTCAGGCTTTAATCAGGAAACGTATGACTTCATACTTTCTCCCATTTTCTAAGCTGAGTTATATTGATAGTAGAAGGTGGATTATAGCTGCCAGGTCTTTCAAAGCTAATTCGTGGAGATGATCAGCTGTAATGGGTCGTATAATAGACGTCGACTTTTAAGAGAATGAAACTATAGCCATGATATTCTGCATTGATTGCGTTTCCGTTTGAATTGATCACTCGCCTTCTCCGTCATAATTAAGGTCTTCATGATTTAATGGCCAGCTCCACTTGCCTGATTATTTCACAAATTCAAAGCGGTACTTTTACAGCCGATGTCCTGCCAAGACGACGTTTACCAGATTAAAGTACAAAGTCCACAACGTGGAACTTCACTATTGATTACTTGTTCTGATTCTGATTAAAACCGTCATACTTCATTAAAACTTCGAAAATTGATCCTTGAACCAACGCTCTGCCTTGTAAGTTTGGAAGCCTGACCGACTCAGAATGCGTAAGTCGTGAATAGCCTATAAAAGATAAAAGACAAGACTATGTGCTCGGCCTTCTCTTCCATTCAGGATCGTAGGAACAAAGTGAATTCGTACGGGACCTATACAGTGACTTGCAAGGGTCAACCGATGTGTATCAAAGCGTAGCATATAAACTCGAAATCGATCTAAAACCAAACAACCAAACTCGGGAGGGAGTCTTCGATCTCTCGAACCATACAAGGCTAATGGTGCGCCATTCGCCACGAAAGCACCTCCCCCCTTTGTGAATCATTCACTGTAAGTGAACACCTATCGATACCCGACCACACTATAATAGTCAGTGTCACTTGATCAATATTACCGGAAATCTCACGAGAATGGCGATTTGTGGGCGAAATTCCAGTCTCGGACGGGACTCGAACCCGTACTTGTCCTTTCCGGGATTACCGGAAATCGTTCTACTATATCCCCATCATACCTTTTTCAAATCCTCAAACTCAGAATAACTACGACCGAAAACCGTTAAGTAACAGGATCCTATCAACTTCCCTACAAACGGAGAATGGGAGGTGTCCATTGATATGTTTTCGATAACATTGTGACAATGTTCCTGTCCTGCTTCCTCCTACATCATGGAGAATAGAAGCTTTACTGCTTTACAGATAATTAAAATTTTTTTATTACTCAGCTACTGCTACTTACTCAACTACTACTTTCACTATACTACCTGCACTAACCGCGGTTCGTGGGAGGCACGATAGGGCCAGAAAACACCCTCGACGGATCACCTTTTTTGCATATCGCAGCAAATACTCAATTTTCTTCACCTTTTAAAGCTTTACTTTCACTACTATGCTTGATCGTCGTTTTCACTTCATTGCGAACAAATTGCCTTTGGCGGTCATTAGGTCCTACTTCATGTGTAAATATGAATGTCGTTTGATGTCGAAACGAATCGAATTTGCAACAAAATGGCTCGATTTCAGGCGATTCTTTACCGGATAAATCAAATTTAACCGACATGGAGAAGTCGATACGTCGCTTCTGCCAAATAGATCCGCTGATGTTCTTCGCGTTTCCGCCCAAGTGAGCAAGTTTATTGCCTTGTTTTTCTAGATTTACAACTCACTTATACTCCTCTTCACAAGACCATTCCGTTTTGTTCTAACATCTTCATTTCGGGTCGTCATGCAGCTTCGAGTAAGTAAGAAGCAACATCAGTCAGCTTTTTTCTCAAATTAATTGCCAGTCTTGGTAATCCTCCTCCCTTACCCTTCGATGGGAATGGGGCAGTGGCTAATTGAATCTCACCCAAACTGACAGAATCTACGGGCACATACAGAAGGACCGATCAATATTCCCCATATCCAACTAGTAATAATTTTTTATTATTTTTTGGGATGTGGCCCTTTACGTTTCCCACGGTTACCGGCACAACGAATTTGGCCATAAAATTCAAATGGCATTGTGGAAGCAAAGTTTTTCTACAAAGCAGCGCTTGATGTGCAGCAAGGGTTGAAGTAGAGAAGTATCTTGGCTCTGGACAATGGTGGATTGTCGAGCTGCAAACAAATTACGGTAGTGCATCTAAACAAATCACCAATGGAAAGCATCTCAGCACCTTAAATTCATCTATTCGTGGTCAAGCTCGGATGCGGCGCAGTTACAGATCACAAAGTGCCCATTCTGAGAGGCTAAAGATATCAGTGGAAACCAAAAGCATGTTCGAAATGAAGCTCGGAAACTACAAGATATCCATTTGCACTCGTGTCTCCGACGCGCCGCGACCGCACGTGGCTTTAACGTGTCTTGGGCTCCCTAGCAGGATGAACAGCGCCCTACGCAGAGTGATGGTGGGAATCGTAAGAACCGTAAAATTGTGTAAGACAATCGGATTTGTTTAATCAGAGAGAACTAAGCTATAGCAAAAACCCTCGTGACGACCCACCGTATCGATAGCGCATCACTGCCATGGTATCTTTCTCTATCATCTGACACTACTACACAATATCATGTTCTCATATAAAAACACCCATTTCTATGGCCTGGCACAGAAGCAATTTATCGAGTTCACACGAAGCACGAAAGTGCATGCAATTCGTCTTCTGATGGCAGCCGCCGGCGATGCCGCGAGCGGCAGTGGTGTCAGTGCTCTAAACACCCCATCAACACGCTTTCAGTTGTGTTCGCTTTTGGTAGCGCGACTGGTCGTGCTGCTGGTTTTTTCGTCCAGCCTTTACAGCCGTTACTTCCTCTCATCAATACTTCTTATTCACAATTCCAGATCCCAATGTTTCAGAGAAGAGCCCACTGTAGTACAACCGACACTGGATCTGCACGTTTATCCACCATTTGCTGAATTTATAGGTGAGTTTTGCGAGATGTCTAAAGTCGTGGGACGTTGTCGAATTGACATCAATTAATTGAATTGTTCAGAATTCGGCGGCGCCTCTAAGCACGTGCTCACAAACGCTGGCTCTTCAAGAATGGTTTTCAAAGTGAAGTGCAGCAATAATTCTCTATTTAAAGTAAGTGGGTAGCAAAAACCAAAAACTATTTCATTGAGTAACCTCCCCATTGCACTCTAAAAACTTCCACTCTCACATAAACCAATTTTTGCGGTGCTCGTAAAAGCAGCTGAAGATATTTCGGTACTGTTTTTTATTTGGTTCTTTAGAAACGGAGATTTAGGTTTTCTGGAGATAGATATTGTTCTGGGAACAAATGATGGTAAATATGTAACATTATGTAGTACTATATAATAACATATAATAGTATGGATTAAGCAATACAATATGAAATAAGGATATTATACAGTAAAATCAATTCTCTTGAGATCGAATCTGCCATAATCATCCTCAAATTATCAATAGCGCACAGGGAACTCGAAAGTCGAGGCGCAAGCCGTACCCTCAGGGATGTCTCCTTGGTAATATTCTGCCGGCTAGGTCCACTCTTTCAGATCCCTACGAACCAGGCCTGAAAAGCAATGTTCGGATCAGGCACTTGCTTGTAAAGAGATTAAGTCGGTGGGCACCTTCTTCATCCTTGAGCTTCGCAACCTTTTGATCATATAACGTTTTCAGGGTGGTAGTTTAATTCGCAGGGAATATCTAAATGAATATTTCCCATAATTGAGCGAAACTTGTCGAGTTGGCCAACAAGTTACATTCATCATGAGAGACTTAGTTCTTTGTTTACTTTGGAAAAACGCAAGCGGTTTGCGTTCACAACCTGCTTTGCAGGCTCTGATGTGGGCTACATTTAGAGCAGTTCTTAGCAGAAATGAGTTTATGCTGGTCGAAAATCTCAAAAAATACAGCCTAAACATATTTACCAGCCAAACAATATTGTGGTCACTTGACCATTTCACATCTTCTGTTCAGGTATCACCTGTCTATGCATTCCTCGACTCAGGTGCTTCGATGGAATTACAGGTAAATGAAAGTCTAATCTGTAGCTCTATGGTTGAATTACTGTATGTCTACCAGTGTTTCGTGAATTTTTGGCGTATTTAAGTGGAAAGCTTTATGGTTGTAAGCATAGAGAGGTGTGTACTTTCTTAACGATGTCGGATGTCGGGTCGTTTCTATTTATTTCACAACAATCGCCGCCTGCCCTTTAAGAACTACTACCCTAACGTCACCTTCTTTAAAACTGATTCGTCACCATGTACTCCTTTCCTCAAAGATCTTATTTCGTGTACACGTCGTACTGATTTCAATGTTTGGTTATCCCCGGATATTCCGCACAATGTCATTATCTGTATAAGCAGTTAATAAAAGGGTAAGAGATGGCCCTGTTCCCATAAGTAGAGTCTATGGATGAGATTCAAGAAGATATTAGGCCACTGGAAACTTTTTCCCTTGAGGACCATGTATCCATATCCAGGTTCATCTAGACGAATAAAAGCGTCGGCTTGTACAGCGGCTGCACCCTAAGAGCCATGAATGGGCTCAGTACGCATTCAAACTCCACCGTGATTTAGAATCACAACCGAATGCGTGTTTTACCGTTTTTATCTCATCATAGTTGTTTACAAAGTAAAGGGGTTGGTGAGTTGCTGACAGAAACAACGACCACATATGCTTAGTTAGGAAATCAAATAACAAATTGAGTTTTGTCTTAGCCTTCCAGATTCTTTCATGCGGCGTGTAATTCTTCTGCTTTCAAGTTGGGTAATCCGTTCTAAATTTGCCTCAAGAGGCACCAACTGGTGCAATGGCGGATTATTACAAATTATCGTATAAATAAAGACAACTAACAAACGAATAAACATAAAGACATACATACATCATATGCTCCTACCACTACTACAACTAGCGCGATGTTCCCAAGAAACGTTGAATGCGTGGCGCGATCCAAGAACGGTTTGATCAACATCAACAGCCTTTTCTCCCAGCGCCTCTGTGGCTTTGCTATACCGCATGCGTCTTTGAAACCAAAATCATTTTGCCACTCCACTCCATTATCCCTGTCTTCAACTGTCTCCGTAGCTCTTCAATCCTTATCCAGACATGATGATTTCTTCATTTTTTACTCTTTTTATCCTTTCTTCCTTCAGCTTTATAATACGTTATGCACAGATTGAGAATTGATGAAGGTGCAGTAATTTAAATGGCTATAGTTGCCTCATCACACATCATTCCGTTCCAGGAACCAATTTGCTGCTTTTTGGGTTTTTAGGATTTCTAAATTGATCGCCGAAACAATGCAGTTTCCAGGGTATAATCTTAGAAAAATGGATTAGGTTAAAAAGCCTCCTGGATAGGTGTAGGGGTGGACCAGACCATATGAGGACACTCGAGAAAAGATTTTCTTTGGAACTTGTGAGAGCAAACGTTTTTCGTTATTTCTAGAGATACTTCAAGCTGGGCTAGTCTCTAATTGGTCCCTTCCTACACCTTCTCGGCTCCTTTCCATTGACACTCCTTTTCGTAATCGAAGAGATCATTATGGGCTTTGCTGGATGCCCATAAGTAGGCAAGCGGAGCTTTTTGAGATACTCATAACAGTGGCGATGGCTTTCATCAAAACACTGAGACTTGGCATCGTGGCTAACAACATTGCCAGTTTTTCTGGAACTGCTTGAGATATTGACGTCCATGCATCAACATAATCGCCGGGTTGGCACCGATGGGAATCACCCTGACGTCGTCATGCCGACTCTGACATTCCCCAGATGGAATGGACTATGTACGGGAAACGCGAGTATTCCATCATCCCTGTTTTTGTGACACGACATAAACCTCGTGTTTCGACTTGTCATTAGGACGTACACGACGTGAAGCAAGGGAACTCTTATTGGCATTTTTGTAATATTGTGAAATACATAAATTTCAATTAAAAAATTGAAATAGAAATAAAATGCAAAATTTGACTCGAAGTTCAAAGTACGAATGAGAAACTGTTCTCTTCTGTTTGATACTTGAACTTGAAAATGAGTTTTAGTCAAGTGTTGGGGCAAAAAGTGGTTTTCTGTCCAATACGTAAAATTATTCATTCGTTTTCACCTTTAACGGCATCGGGTTTCTACGATTTCACCTTAGGATGAACAAATGAGTGGGAACACTGTCGGGTTGAAAAATGACATCGACAAGGGCTCCAAAATCGTCTTGGCCAGACCCATTCAAAGTCGTCATGTTCAAACAGTCTCGTAGAGACTTCACCATCCACAATAAAGACTTAGGAAGCCAACGAATAGTAGGGTGTGTAGAAGACACCCAGTCGATCACGGGCACAATCTCGAACAACCTCTTTCTTACTATGTACTTTTTTGAAACCTTATATTTTTCTCAAAAGCCACAGGTTTCCGCATTTCCTTCGCTATTTTTGCACTATTTTGCACCATAACTTCTATTACTTCATCCTACTTATATAATCGGCTAAGTGTGTCTGTTGGTGTGTTTGTGTGTGTGTTTGTCTGACCGGAAATTCATAACTCCTGTTCCACTGGACCTAGGGCATTCAAATTTGAAAGAAAGTTAGGGGGCAGGATGGGAACACTGATGGCAGGTGATAGGAAGTGGTAACTATCGATAGAACTGATAAGAAGCCTTAAAAGGCAAAGGTCTCTGGATCCGTAACTGCCTTCGTATTAGCGTTGAAGCTCTGGCACTTTGGCAGGTGGTGTAGGATGTGAAGGGACCGCAGATATTTGACGACAGGGATTGACAACAACTGATAGGGACTAATAAGAAACCATAGAAGGCGATAGCCACTATATCTATAACGCATTTTCTTTTAATGATGGAATCTTGGAATTTTAATAGGTTATGTAAGATGTGACAGGATCGGAGGTACTCGGTGACGGGATCGAGATCGGTTGGTGCCAGGCCAGGAGCTGATAAAACTGATAAGGGCTATTGAAAATCCTGGAAAGCGTAAAGCCACTATAATAATGGCATTAATAGTGGAGCCCTGACAGTTTGGCATGTAATGTGGAGTATGGCGGGATCGTAGGCGACCGATGATAGGAACTGATAACAGCTGATAACGACTGATAAGGACACTTACCAACGGAATTCAACTTCTGTGGTGATTACGCTGTATTTATGACTACGACTATTATATAAATTACGACCGCTACCCAGCAAGGTTTGTAACTCGTTGGAGGATTAGGGTTACTTAATGTTTTGATATCATTTACGACAAAGCTCATCCGACCGCCAATAATTTGGGATTCTCAACTAATGATGTACCAGTGGAGGAAAGAAGGTCCAGTGATAACGACATCTTATAATGGCGTTATTATCACTTGAGAACATTAGTGAGTACTACTCAATTTTTCGGTTGCCTATCAGTTAAACCTTT